TGGGACCCCCGCCAGGCCGCTCCGCAGGAGCATCAGCAAGGGCTCGTTGGCGCCGCCGCCGCCTTGCCCGCCTCCGCGGCGCTCGTGGGAGAAGGAGCTGCCGGTCAGGGACGAGGCCATCGGGGCGCAAAAAGGCGCGGGAACCTGTGAGGGAAAACAAGGCGCAAGAGAGCCGGCATGCCCGGGCGGGGGGGCGGCCGGAGGAGGCAAAACAGCTGCCCGGAGGGAGAGGAGGAGCTTTACTTGCGAGTAAGCAAGCTCAAGGAGAAAGGCTGTCCCGAAAGGCACCCGCCAATTTACTTCAGCTGGGCCAGGAAGCGCCTGTTTCCGCAGAACCCGGAGCAGCCCTTCAGCTTCCCCTGAAGGGAGCCGTTCGCTCCCATCTTCCTTTGGAGCGCGGCATTTATACACCAGGGCTGCCCCCCCCCGGGAGGGGCGGGGGACACAAGGAGGGCCCCTCCCCCTGAACGTTCGCCGACCTCCCTGCGTCCTGAAACGATACCCGCCCCATGCAAACCCTATAAGGTTGCACTGCTCGCATGCAGGCAGACCCTCGCTTTCCTGAGAGAAAGGCTCAGTGCGACTTACCTCTGAGTAGAGACGTTGTCTGTAAAGGTCGCCTCCTGTAAAGGCAGACTCGAAAGTAAACCCCGATGAATGCAGTAAGACGTACTTCCTAGGTCAGTCTGTATAGGGTTGTGGCCCTAATCCGCCCCCACCCCCATTTTTCATTTGTGAGAAACATACTAGCCGCCGACATGTGTCCGCGTCTTCTCAAAAGTCACTCCCACTGAGCTGAGTGGGGCTTACTCCCCAGTAAATGGATACGTGGGAGTTCCTCCAGCCATTTCTTCCTTCGGTTCGTCTCTTTGACCCACTATTTCCCCCCTTCCCTTAAGCTTTGTCTCTCTTTTCCAGGCTCTCAAGAGGGCTCTTGAACCCGGTTTGCAGAGAGACAACCGTGCCAGTTTAGTGCATCGAAAATATCAAGGCGCTGAAGACTCAAAACGGGTTTTACTGGGAGAAGTTTTCCTGGCGAAGAGAGTCTCTCTCTTCGCATGCGATCCTGTATTTGGGCACAGCCTGCCTTAGCCATCCATCCAGAGGGATGAGATTAAGGCGCTGCGAAGCTCTCCGAACGCGTCAGAAAGTATCCCTGCATAGAAAAGAAAAAGGGCTCAAGGGAGCTGTGATACCTTCAAGACTCATTTCGATTCCCTGCTACAGTAAATCAGCCTTGAAAGGGGACATGGATCTTTTCTGCCCAGTCCAGTAAGACGCCTCTCCTTATCCAATTCTTTGCCCCAATTCCAAGAGCAGAAGGGACTACAAGGACACGGGGTGGGGGTTGAGAGGAACCTACAGCGCCCAGCGCACAGTTTGGGAAGTGTTACTCGTGGGAAAGTGTATTTCCTGGCAAGCTGGGGCCGGGGGACCTCAAGGAGTTCACTGTGCGATGCGTGTCACCCTCCGAAAGATACCGGGCAAGCCCTCTCCATCCAGAAACGCGCAGGAAAAGGCCACAAGGCTTCGGCTTCCCCGGAGATTCTCTCCGCTTGACAAACGGGGAGCCGTCAGAGGCATCGGGGGCTTCAGGGAGGGAAGGGAAGGGAGAGGGCGTCGGACACGAAAGGTGGGTCCCGCTGCATCACGCAGGTTGGACAGGCCGTCCCAACCCCTCCCACAACGATCAGGCCCAAATACTGTGACAGAGGAGCCGTCTGTCTCACGATGAGCCCCGTGGGCGACCAGGACTTAGCTGTCCCTCGCCCACTCCTCAGTCCCCTCAGGGAGGGAAGGGAGAGGGCGTCGGACACGAAAGGTGGGTCCCGTTGCATCACGCAGGTTGGACAGGCCGTCAGCGGCGACTGCTCACACCAGGGCTGCTCGACTGCATCACGCAGGTTGGACAGGCCGTCCCAACCCCTCCCACAACGATCAGGCCCAAATACTGTGACAGAGGAGCCGTCTGTCTCACGATGAGCCCCGTGGGCGACCAGGACTTAGCTGTCCCTCGCCCACTCCTCAGTCCCCTCCTCGTGCGGGTGGCGTCGACTGATCTGGAGCTTCTCCCAGCTCTGGGCCGAAGAGGCGGCGAAAAGCCGCCGGGCAGCCTCGTCGGGGGCCTTTTGCCGGCGGCGACTGCTCACACCAGGGCTGCTCGAGTCCTTGCTGCCTCCCTCCGCGGATCTCGGGGCTTCCTCCGGCAGTCCTTCCCTGCTCGACGTGATTAGAAGCAGTCCCCGGAGGAGGAGCCCCGTGCCTTGTCCGGCAGACGGTGTTCAAAAGAAGCCCTTCGGGAGGACACCGGGAGAAAACAGGCAAGCCTGTCTCCGAGCCAACATTTCCTTCCCCAGTTTCCCCCCAGCCGGCACCAGCTACTGGTCAAAAGCCCCGCTCACTTGAGGGCAGGAACTGGGGCGGGTGGGGGGCACTTGTACTGTAGAGGGAATCCCGAGCTTCCATGTCACCGGAAAGCATCTCTCGACCTACGTGCCCCCCCAAAAAGTAAAAAGGGAGAGGTCTTACGAACAATTCAGGGGAAGTTAGGTTCTCAACACCCCTATCTAGCCGTTCCCTCGGTCAGAGATATTTAGCATTAATTAGTCTGAAGTACATAAAAGGTTCGCTATACAGGACATGCATGAAATACTCTGCAGCGGGCCTAGGCATCGCACTTGCACGTTTACTCAGAGGTAAGTCTACTTAGTCGAATGAAACTAACTCCCGAGTAAATGTCCATGAACCCCCCCCCAGCTTAAAACAGTGGGACCTCGGAGGTTTGTATCGAGATCACAGATTCCTATTCCACGTCCTCCTGCGTTAATTGGCTTAGCCCGTGGAGGAATGCTGCCTCATCGGTCACAGTTTTGTGAATGGCCAGTGTGAATAAGGTAAGAGTCGGTGTCTGGCCAAACTTTAGTTGCCTTTTATTTCTTTCGGGCCCCATTGCCTACAATCCAAAGTGCCTCCAACTATCTGTTCTCTGATTCGTGTCTAAAATTCTGGATAATGCTGCGTGCATCTGATGAAATGAAACGAACTACAATCCACGAAAGTTCACTAGGATGTCACAGGACTTTTTGCTATTTCTGCAAAGGATTGCCCCGCTTTGCATATTTTCTGGACAAAGGCGAAGCGCACACCCCCAAAGACGGAGGGGCGGAGGTGGGGGGGGGGTCGACGGGCAGACCTAAAAAGCGAAGGCACCGCAAGAAGTCCCCCGACAGACACCCTCGGTGAACTTCTATGGATCGCAATTCACTTCATCAGTCAGGCTTAGACAGTGAACTGACCATCCGTTTGCAAGGCAGATACAACAACATGCTTTTAAAACAAGTACTAGTACAGAAAAGGGTATCCTAGCAGGGAGTACCTGGAAATAATGAACCAGCGCAGCCCTGCCTTCTCCTTTGTAATTGTTCTACCTGCTCAGCCTGCCGTGAGGGCGTTGCAAAAGCGGTGCCTCTGAAGCAAACGAGAAAGGACGGTTCTAAAGACGGGCAGTTGCGCTCCAGCCCCTCTCCGCGTCCGGGCACACGCACACAAGGCGCCGGGATTCCCACATATCGCTGCACCTGAAACACCCTTAGCCGGAAAGTGCATGTGTTGCTTTGGTTTCGTATATAGTTTTTCCTCGGTGAAAACACTTTGGTCGGGACAATCTTAAAACCAGGTGGAATGGACAAATTCGAAAACATCTTAGTTAATCTGTACCCAAATTTACTTTTCCTTTTTCTAGAGGGTGGTGAGATATACAGTCTATTGGGCCTTTCTTTCAGATCGTTTAAGGTCATTGTACGTTTCCCGTGTGTAATTGGTAGAATTCGTACATTTTTTCTTGGATGGCATTGCGTTTCCAATTTCTTTTTAAAAATCTGCACGGTTAGTCCTAGACAGGCAAGGGAGGATAAATCGGTTTTTAGACAGAAGGAACTTGGGGTGGTTCGTTTCTAAGGTAAGTGAGCGAAATAACCGCCCGCGCTGCCAAATGTCTGTTCAAAGGATCCCTCGGAATTGCTCCAACTTCGATTGATCTACACAGATTTCGCTTTTCCAACCAACCACACCTTGCGCTTGTCTCCGGAAGAGCCTTGCCATTCTCCTCCATGCCCCTTTCTGGTATCAGGTGAAGGGACGGGGTTGGGGGGGAAGCGCGTTATTCAGTTTCATTCCAAAATAGGGTTTCTCCAGCTTTTACCCTCCTCTATTGAAACTGACATAGCGAGGAAACCCTCCAGAACAGTCTCTGATAATATTCTCACTCCCCAGCGTATGTAACAGAGGGATAATACTCTCTTCAGATCGACAGGTCCCTTTTAATCCTTCCTTAATTCGCACACAGGTGTCTGGCCTGGATCTGGATGACTAGCAGGGAGTACCTGGAAATAGGTACTTCAGGAAGTATACATGTCCGTCAATCGATGTGCAAACCTGATTATAATATCCTTTAAAGCCTACATTTTCCCCACGCATGCTGCACCATCCTCGAGAGAAGCAAGAAAGCTCTTGAGGCAGGTACAGAAGTTCAGATGGTTGCGAACTCTGGCTGCTTTGAAAGGCGGTTATTCAAGGAAGAGTCTAGTAGCACCTTATGAGCAAACACGTTTTATTACTACACAGCCATATTCTGGACTGCAACCCTTGAAATCTGATGAAGGAGGCAGGCTGTCGTCAGCAACAAGGCATGCCCTGATAAAATGCGTTTGTGTCTAAGGTGCCATTGGGCACTTTTTATTGATTTATTTTGTATTTTTCTGCCACAAGCTGAAACGATGACCACACCACAACTGGAATTTCTGTCGTCAATAATCCCAATGTCTTATGGACCAGCACCTTTGCTATATTCAGATTATTTTTCCCTGGATGTTTTTGTTGAAATTGTTCCTTTTAAAATCCCAGACTATGGAGCTTTCTAGCAAAAATGATTCTTAAAGCACCTTCCTTCTCATTGCAATAAGGAACACTCTAATCAAACTGCTTCAGTTCTATATATCTGGAAATGTCCACATGCAATCCAGGAAGGTTTATGCCAAGTAAAGCCTGTTAGCTGGGTAAATGCCACAAAAGGTTGTGGTTATTTTATTGAGTTAATTAGTTTTAAAATGTTTCACCAAACT